CGGCGTTCCTGCACTAAAATTATCTATAATTCTAAATATTTGTAATATTATCAAAAATCTGATAATCAATTTTTCAAATATAAACGAAAAATCGATAGAATATTTGCAGTTTAAATACACTCGATACGATGTTTCATTTATTTGAAATAATACAATTTTCAATTCGCAAAAAAAAAAAGATTTTTAAAAATTAATTAAAAATAATAAATAAAATGTTTAAAACAGAATTCGTAATTTTGAAAGTATTTGTAAAATCTAATCTATACAATCCTTGTTCCATGTTGCACTTGTGTAAATTGAAAATTATTTTTCGAAGGTAGATAACCAGATGAATATTTTTTCCTTTCAAACATGAAATATTACAAAAGATAGCGAAAGATTTTAAAAAAGATCTATTGTATGCACAGTGTGATTACGCGAGTCCAAAGTATAAATTTTTGGCCTCCCTTCTCCTGAGAAATGTATACAAACAGAAAAAATATCCTTCTTCTCACGGTGCATTCCTCTTCGAGGCAGGTTACTCGAATCCCTAATCGGGGTTGGTTATGCAAAACAGTTTATTCGGGGCACGAGAAGTTTTCATGCTATTTTATACAGAAAAATTTGGATTTTGACAAAGAAATAGAACGAATATTGTATTAAAATGCATAAATGTTGAAAAGAAGGGATGAAAAGAACAATTAGTGGATAGAGTGAAAATATTTTTTTTCAACCTAGAGAAATTTTTCGTAGAAATAATTCACAATCGTTGACAGTAATCATCAGTCGATTATTTTCATAAACGAATACTTTTTATTCATAAATCATTTCATCTTGATTATTAATTTAAAAATAAATTTCTTGAATAATATACAATTAATTAATGATAAACGAATCTAATGAATACTTTTGCCTTTTAATATCGTGCCAAAATTTCCTCTAAACCATTAAAAAAATAAAGTTGAAAAATTTAATCCTATACAATTATAAATTTAAATAATATAATTTTTCCATTGTGAAATAACCAATAACGAGAACGAAATGAGAATATACATTTTACTCGATAAAAAATTAATTTCATTTTATTTCTAATAGATAACGAAGCCGATATTTCTAATTCGAATTAACGTTAATATAGAGAAATACGAAATACGAATAACAACAAGATATATTTTTGTAATTTCTTGTCAACTAACAATTCTTCCTGATCGACGCGAGAAACGAGAATTTTCCAAGATTACCTTTAATCTTAGGGTGGGGAGCCAGGTGAGGTATCGAGGGGATGAAAAGGAGCAAGGAGGGGTGAAGTTTTGTTTGTTGGACCGTTCCTTTCCGATTGTTAAGCTCTTTGGGCTTTGTGCCGAGTCCACAGGCAGCTGGCCTACGCGATGCCAAGTCGTCCGTATGGCTATCTTTTAACATCAACGGGGGGTTAACTTGCATTGAAATACATCATGAGAAAGTCGACGCATAATTACGTTTTAGTACCATTGACACAGGGGCCCATGCTGGGGATCAAAATGGTCTAGCAAATAACTGATATAGAAATTCTGCATTGTCTTGCTATTGATAAGAATTACACCACTTTTTTTATTTACCATTGTGAATTATTTTATCATCTACATGAAAAATTGACGATACTTATAATTTGTCGCTCGAACATCGTCTGTAAAATAATTTATTCTTAACTCTTTATGCGCGAATTAAAAAATATATATACTTTTCCTTTTTATTGAAATCGAGTAATAAATCTCGAAAGATTTGAGAAAAAAATTATCGGCCTATAATATATTTATTGTGATTAAAGTAAGTAATGTCATGAAAATAAATTACAATTAATTTTATCATAAAAAAACATTTTCATCTCCTTCTTATTTTGACCAATCTCAAAAAAAATCTAATTAACGATAATTAAATACAAAATTAATTCTCTCCCGAATTAAATCGATCCCGAAATTAAAGGGAATCAATTAATTCCCATTGAAAGCTCAATATAATCCTTACGCATAGGGCAATAAAATACAATTCCACGCATTTTCTTTTTTTTTCACGCAATTCGAGCGAACTTGTTCCTTTTCGTCCACTTGAATTATTACGTTTTCATCGGATAATCAAGCGCTACTTCAATAACTCGACGAGTAATAACGTCCAATCGATACCACCGTGCGCTAATCGAACAATTAATGGCTCGTTACAACGTGTACAGAGGAATGCGTGAAAGTTAATATTCGCCGCCAACCCCCTTTGCACCCTGTTGACCGCGTTAATTCGAGCGCGTGCCAATCGTGTTCGGATCCCCCAACTGTTTTCGACCATCGACTCGATCTCTGTGCGAGGAACGACTCCTCAGTACGAGGAACGCGTGCGGGCGAGGCGTAACAAGAAGATCGAAGGAGAGCCTCGTGTTTCGAGGTTGATTCAAGACGATGTTAAAAGGAATACGTAATCGTGTTTTAAATTAATCGATTGAAAGGATTTAATATTTTAGATTTCGAAAAGTTTTAAAATTCTCATAAAGAATGAAATTTTATGTTTAAACGTAATGTTGATTGTAAGTTTGATGGAAGAACAGGAAAGTGTATTGGTTTGAATTGAAGAAAGATTTGAGATGGAAGTTAATTTGTGGGGATAGTTTTCTTGTGAAATTTTCTGTTGTTATCAAGTGTTGTTGAAGAATTTTGATTGAGAGGCATTCTGAATCGAGGAATTTAGATAAAAGGGGTAATTATTAATGTAAATTTTTTAAATATTTTGAAGTAGTAATCTGTGGATATGTAGTTAATGTTACGATAGTGTTACGATATTATTATGATATATCATTAATCTTTAATGGTTGTATTGACAATATTTGACTATTGAAATCTATATTATAGATTTTTTATCCGAGAAATTTAAAATATTTCGAATATAAATATCATATAGTATTAATATTTAAATAAATAAGTAATTAATTTATAAAAATACTTGCATTTTTTTCAAAGAGATCAAATTTATAATCTAAAAATAAGATAAGTAATTTGTTATTAAGGATTATTGGATCTGAAAGTAAAAGTTGATGCTAGAAATAATATTTTTTACGTTCTATCTTTTCACAGTTTACTTTTTTCACACATGATTTCTCATTTGTTTGAACATCTATATTTGCTGCTATTTGAAGCAAGGTTACTATGTGAAGAAAGATGTTTCTTCATACATGAAATTTCAATCTCGAGTTATAAACTGTAAAAAGAAAGAGGAAAATAAAATTGATTTTGGCATATAAATTGCATAAATAAAATAAATTTCTATAATTTTAAAATTTCTTAAATTGTTCTCCTTGATTTTTAATTTTAACTTTCATTTTTATTCAAATTTTTTTAAAATTTTAAAAAAGATGAATCTGGAGTTTTATTTTGTATTGTAATTTTTTGAATATAAATTATCGAAGCACTTGAATGATTTATTTTTACTTTTTTCACGTTAATTAAATTCTTTTACGCCAACAATGACAGCAGAAGAGGAATAAATTAGAATATAAAATTTCACCATGGCCTCAGTCGTTTTGACCTTTCAAATCTTATATTCAGTTGCCTTCTTTCAAAATAAATTTTTGTAAGAAGTTTTATAGAAAATGATACTCGAAATCTTAATTCCAAAACTTTAATCAAAATATATTAATATTTATTTCAAAAATTTCCATTTATTTTTCAACGAAGAAGATTTTCAACGAAAAACAAAAATTGATAAAATACAAAAAAAAAGAAAAAATGCAAATCGAAAAGACATCATAACTAGAGAAGAAGAAGTTATCTTTTTAAAAGTGTCACACAAGTGAGAGGGGTCCAAAAATTCTCACGATGGCCACCACAGCTCGAGTAGTATCATTTTGCTCGATTGTACTTGAACGGTGCTCGGTTCAACAATGATCTCCAGAGAGAGAGAGAGAGAGAGAGAGAGAGAGAGAGAGAGAGAGAGAGAGAGAGAGAGAGAG